TCCAGCTGGTGGCTGGGAGCGACATAACTTTCCCCCAGGGGAACATCTGTGGCCTGTCCTGCACTGGCCACCTTTGAGGACATGGGCTAAGAAAACCAGACCTGCTTGGAAAGGGGTGAAGCAGCCCAGGGCAGCCAGATCTCCTACGTGCCCAGTGCCCACCCATGGTGTTATCCTGGATGTGGTGACACCAGTGGGTGTCGTCACATCCGATCTGAATCTTCAGGGACTCATTGTTAGGATTAGTAAATGTCTTACCCTCTTATTCCACATAAGCATCTTCTTGAGGCCCGGCGTTTGTGTAGCTCTGTGTACTTTTCATGATCTTTAAAGGGCCTCAGGGTCCCGTGGATAATTTTCCTCTCTAAGAATGGATGTTACAGCGGCCTTCATGTTGGAGACGGTGCTCAGGGAAGCAGCATGGGAGGCTGGGGGAGCCAGGCCGTCCCACAGTGGCTTGCCCCTCTTCTCTCGAAATCAGCCCCCTGGGCTGTCGGGGGCCCTTCATCTCAGCGCCACACATCTCCCTCCTCTCCGTAGCTCCGACAGGGCCCTGCTGCTGGACTGTGGTGAAGGCACGTTCGGGCAGCTGTGCCGTCACTACGGAGATGATGTGGACAGGGTCCTGGGCAGCCTTGCCGCCGTGTTCGTGTCCCACCTGCACGCGGATCACCACACGGTGAGTGTGGGGCAGGGGCGCCCCCGGGGGGGGCTGCTGCTCTCCTTCCCTCTCGCTCCCAAACACGCCCAGAGCTTTGGCTTGTCATCTCTCTAGGTAATGGTCTGTCACAAACCCCAGTGCAGTAGTTCTGCCCACAAGAATGTATTGTCTTTCTGTTTGCTCTGCTGTCCTGTAGCAATAGGGGCTTTCGCCTTCACCCAGGTTGTCTTCAACCTTCTCACACGGCCTGGTCAGGGGAAACTGAAGGCTGAGCTGGGAGGCTTGTCTCCGTGGGGCAGCTGGGCCCCCAGCCACTCCCTTCTCTTTTCTGACCATGTTGTGGTGAGATTTCAGGACACGGGTCGGCATGTACCAGCACCCACTCCAGCGGTGTTAGAGGATGGTGGCCAACAGAGAGCTGGGAACCGCCGCAACGTGACCCGATGACCCCAGTACAGGGTCAGGTTTGGAAATGTCTAACCCGTGTCTCCTTTCTCCTTCCCAGGGTTTGTTAAATGTCCTGCTGCAGAGAGAACGAGCTTTGGTGAGTGTGGCACTTGATTTTATTGCCATTTGAGTTTGCTTGGATCATATTGGATCCATAAATAGCTTTACCTCCTGCCACTCCACAGTAGTTTGATTGCAGTGTCTGCCATTGATTTGATCCTGGTTTTGTTGTTTCAGGCATCACTGGGCAAGCCCTTTCACCCTTTGCTGGTGGTAGCCCCCACCCAGCTTAGGCCCTGGCTGCAGCAGTACCACAACCAGTGCCAACAGGTTCTGCATCACGTCAGGTGAGCTGCCAGGCAGCCTGCACCCCCAGGCTGTAGTCTTCCCCCTCCTCTGCATGGTGGGGGCAAGCTCCAGGTTGATCTGAGGCAGTCCGTGATATCCCCAGCACCTTCCCTTGACCTGGCCGCAGACGGCAGAGGCAGGGGAGAGATGCTTTGACTCAAGTGTAAAAACTGTTAGATGATTCCCACTTAAGTGTCTGTTTTCTTGGCTGTGTTTCCTTGTAGCCCTCATTTCAGGTCTGATCTAAGCTTTAGACTTTTGCCAACACTTCTCCATAAAATAGTCGCAGGGCCAAGCGCCCGCGTGTTGGCGAGCACAGAGACTGTCCACGCCAGGTGGGTGAGTGGCAGGAGTCAGCCCTGTCCTCACCTTGTGGGGAAGGAGCCCATGTGCCTGGAGCCCAGCCAACCTGCCTGGGAATGGCCTGCGATGGCCTTTACTGGGGGCAGCTCACCCATTAGGTTTTTTTCAATGGCTGGTGGTTTGGTTTGGTTTGGTTCTTTTTCATAGACTACATTTCCCATCTTAGTGACTGTGATTTAAATTGTTTTTTTTTTTTATAATGACTTTGGGCCTTTCCAGCCAGAAACTTAAACTTTGATTTAAGTTAAATTTTTAAAAATATTTGTTTAAATGTTTTATTTCTCACAGTATGATTCCTGCCAAATGCCTTCAGAAAGGAGCTGAGGTTTCCAACCCCACAGTTGAAAGGTTGATTAGTTCACTGCTGAGCACCTGTGATTTGGAAAAGGTATGGACAGCCGCAGGTGGCGGGGAGGCAGGGAAGAGGCAGGGAGCGCAGCTGCAATCGCTCCCCTGCACCTTCAGTTTCAGACCTGCCTGGTCCGACACTGCAAGCATGCTTTTGGTTGTGCGCTGGTCCACACGTCTGGCTGGAAACTGGTCTATTCAGGAGATACCATGCCCTGTGAGGCTCTGGTCCAGATGGGTGAGTAGGGGCAGCCGATTCTGGTCCTGCCTGGCGGCCTCTGGTTGTCATTCCTAACATGCAAACATGCCACAGGGTAGGGGAGCGAGTGCTGGCCGGGAGCCAGCTGTGTGGACTGGGGCCGAGTGCTTTGGCAGCAGAGGACACTGCTTGACGCCTGTGCTTACTCCCTAGGAAAAGACGCCACCCTCCTGATACACGAGGCCACTCTGGAAGATGGTCTGGAACAGGAAGCTGTGGAAAAGACACACAGGTAGCGGAGACTGCTGAGCCGTCGTCACGCACGCCCTTTCCCTCCCCCCGTGGCAGTGAGTGCCTCATGTCAGTCCTGCAGAAAAAGACTGTCCTCCAGTGGCTTGAGGCAGGCCCGCTTCCCCCCAGAGCACTGTGTGGGCTTCTGATCCATGGTAGCAGTTTGCTGCTGGGCCCTTCTGCCTTATTTCTGTGGAGTTCCGTAGGCACGGTTCTCAGAGCAGCATAACTTTAGAAAGAATTAGAAATACACTGGAATCAACTGGAGCCACTGAGGGAATTAGGAGGGGAAGGGGGAAGGTGGGGCTGGACTTAGCAGGGGAAGGTGCGGCTGGGGACAGGGCCCTTAGGCCTGCCTGCTTTCCTCGCCTGGCAGCACGACCTCCCAGGCGATCGGCGTGGGGATGCGCATGAACGCGGAGTTCATTATGCTGAACCACTTCAGCCAGCGCTACGCCAAGATCCCCCTCTTCAGCCCTGACTTCAACGAGAAAGTTGGAATTGCCTTTGACCACATGAAGGTGTGTATGGGGTGGGCTGCATGGGGTGGGGCCGAGGCGGAGGGACAGCGCTGCTCCTGCACAAGGAGGCATGGTCGGGCTCGGGGCCAGCCTGCCGGAAGGTGCCCGTCACCATGCTACGACCGGCCCTGGGTTTGCAGGCCAGCCCGACCTTCCTCAGGCCCTTCTAGACAGACATCAGCGTCGATCGCTGGAAATTACTGAGAGCCTCTTGGAGGCTCACTGTGTTCCCACCATCCCATCACATGAGCCTGACCAAAGCCTGGAGATGGGATGTCCTCCCCTCCCCTCTCCTCTCGTGAGTGGGAAAGCCAGGCCTGGCCCCCGGCACAGGCTGGGCCTCCTTATGAAGAGCTTGATGCTCAGAGCGGGAAAGCCTTGTGTTTTTGAGGCCTCTTCAGCTTTGCTGCCCTGGCCTGGCAATGGGGATCTGTGCCTTCTTTAGTTCCCTCCCTCTCTCCATGGAGTTTCCTTTTCTTTCCCAGTTGTGGTCTGTTGACTCCAGGGTTGCTGGGAAGGGGACCTGGTGCCTGCAGTGTGAGCACATGTTTCCCTACTCCCACTCCTGCCCCGCCCGCCCAGCCCTTCTGAGCTGTCCTCCGCCTCCGTCCTGCCTTCCAGGTTTGCTTTGGAGACTTCCCCACGGTGCCCAAGCTGATTGCCCCGCTGAAAGCTCTGTTTGCCGGTGACATTGAGGAGATGGAGGAGCGCAGGGAGAAGAGGGAGCTGCGGCTCGTGAGGGCGGCCCTCCTGTCCAGCGAGCAGGTGGACAGCGAGCCCCAGCAGAAACCGGCACATGCAGAGGAGCCTCAGAGCCCACAGCGCAAGAAGGTCAGGGCGAAGTGACAGCCAGGAGTGACCCTGTACTCGGAAGGCTCACATCCTCCACCCCGTGCATGGGCACCGTGTGTGCGCCCTTTGCCTGGTGGAAGCCAGAGGGCGCCGTTCCGCAGGGGGCACAAGGGAGTAGGCGGTGTGAAGCTGGGCAGGGACTGGCGGACTGGTATGCTGGATGTCTCTCAGTAATGGGGCCTGGCAGAGCCGTGGACAGAAGGCTGCTGAACAGAGGAAATCAAGGGTGACTGGAATCCAGTGCCATTGATACTAAAGTCACATGGAAAAATGGCACACCCAGGCCTTCTCTGGCCAAATTATTCCCTCTGTACACCAGAGACAAGTCATTTCCCAGGGAACATCGGGTTGTGGCCATGAAGTCCAAGTATCCAAGACTCGAGGAGACGTATTTCCAAAGACAGAGAATGCAATAAAGATTCCGTTTGGAACTCGAGTGCTTTGTTTCATCCTGGTGCCACCTCTGAGCAAGAGTCTCCCTCTGCCAGCTCCAGGGCGAGACCCCCAGGAGTGGCTCTCAGCCCGGTGTTCTAGCGAGGCAGGCTGTGCTGGCTGACAGCGGCCTGGTTCCCACACCGGCCACTGCTGGGCCCACATAGGGTCGGGACAGCACAGCCTGCCCTTATCCTGGGAGCAGCGCGGCCAGTCGATGGGCTGTTCCGTGGCCAGGCGAGAACGACTCGCTTGCCGCCCTTCTGAGCACTGAGGGGTAGCGCGATATAAGGCTGTCTTGCCCTCCTTACGAGATTTAACAACACGAGGTTAGTGCCTGAGAATTAAAAGAAATGTTAAAGGTAAACCCAGTGTTTATTTGTATATTCTCCCTACCAAGGAGAACAGAGACACTTTAACAACCCGGGTGCTGAGGGAGCCGCGAGGGCAGGCTGGGCCTGCCCCTGGGCTCCTCCTGAGGCAGCAGCTGGTGCCGCGGCCCTGCCCCCACATGTCCCTTAAACAACCACAGCCATGCTCAGGGAGAATAAATCTATTTTAATAAGATGACTTTTGACAACTATTTGTACATGTTTTTAAAGATACTTTCAACCCCCGGGCTTCATTACAAACTGGGTGCTGAGCCGCCCCGGCCAGGAAGTGCGTGAAGCTGCTAGCGTCCAAGTTGGCCGGTCCCACAGTCAGAGAGAAGCGGCTTTACATGGTTGGGAAAAATAACTAAGCGTTTAAATGTCTCATTGTACACCTGTACATTGGTTTAGATTGAATGGCTCAAATTAAACAAATATAGAGAAATTTCATATGTACAAATATATCGTGTATAGGTATATCGTATCTATTTTAAAAGGATAAAACTGTAGAGTCGGACTTGGCATGCACGGCCCGCACGTTCCTTGCCGCCTCCACCCCAAGCGTGACAGGCTCGCCGCACCGCGGGCTGCGGCGCTGGCCCGGGGTCTGAGGGCCTGCGCCACCTCCGGCCGCCTGCTCTGGGTAACAGTTATTGCTGTTCACCTGTGACCGCCAGAGAGGTGGCGGCTCCTGGACCCCACACACCTTGTGGGGCTGTCATGTGATCAGATGTTTGACGGGGGTGCGGGAGCTACCTTCAGGCCCTCTAGACATCCTTAAAGTCAGTTTTTAAATTCGAAAGTGTAAAACAATAAGGTAGAAACAGGAGCTTTCAGTCACAGGGTGTGGAAAAATGAAACTTAAGAAGTGAAACAGATTTTGTTTTAAGCCATTTACTTCAGACCCCACAGTGACGGGCAGCCTCCCCTGGCAGCAGGCAGCCCCAGGGCGCCGAGGGTCCCGGATCTAGTCCCCCAGAGCAAAGAGCCCCTGCTACCCCATCTCCCTGCTGCAGCCACAGAGCCGTTTGCCGTCAGAGCCGGTGGTGGCCCCAGGCCTAACCCCGGGGACAGCTCGGCCTCCCTCACAGCCCCACCCTGCAGACAGTTCCCACCAGCGGGCCCTTGGGTGGGGAGGGCTGTTGCTGGGCACGGAGGCCGAAAGTGGATCAAATAGGCACAAAGTCAAAAGGCAAAGATCAAACAAAAGGCCAAAGTCACCATCCAAAGGGAACAAACAAAATTGGCACCACCGACATTTGCCACACAGGCTGGAATTGGCAGTTTTCTGCAAAACTCCAGCCTTGTGTTAGCAGTGACACCAAAGAGCCAATGGAGGACCCTTGGCAAGCCCATGGGCGCTGGCTGTGTGCTGGTCCGGGCCCAGGTGTGTACACGCGTGTCAAAGGGCGGTGCTCTCAGACTCCTCCTCCGAGTCCCTCTTCTCAGTCACCGAGGGTCGCCGTGCGTGCTCCAGGGGACTCAGGCGGAGCGTGGATCCAAGCTCTACGTGGATGGAGGGGACATCAAAGTGAACGAGATCTGGAAGTCAGCAGAGAGAGAGGTGAGAAGGGGCTTTTTGGCCAAGGTGAGGGGTGGCAGGCTACGAGTTGCGCATTGCGTAAAGAAGTGTAGCAGATGAGCCAGTGCAGGGCCAGCCTGCACTTGGGGGCCGGCTGAAGCGTTTGGGGGGTCAGGGCAGGGATGGGCCGCTTTGCTTCTATGGACAAGCAAGCCTGTAGGACCAGCATCCAGATTCCTCTAGGGCAGCTCACAGAGGACTGTAAGGACAGCTCCCGGCTGGCCACCATACACTCCCTGCCTCTGGGCCGGTCCCAGTGACAGCTTTCTGGGGATTTCAGGGCTGCAGTTAGCTCTCTGAGGTCTGCAGACAGTGGAAAAACACCCCTTTTCCCAGTGAATGGGAGCCCTCACTCTGAGGCCATGAACAGTATACTGCAGATGCTGACAGGGCCAGGCAGAGGGGTGCCCTCAGGAGCAAGAAGCCTGGCAGCAGTTGTAGCAACTTGCTTCCCAAATGTAGGAACCCCCTCTCTCAGCCCTCAGGAAGCAGCTCACTTCCAATGCAGCCTTGTTTGGGCACTACAGGTCATTCTCCCTGCGAGGTGATCAGGAAGAACGTACCTCTGGCAACAGGGCTCAGGGTCTGTGGGGTCGGAGGCATCTGTGGCGTTGAAGTGGCAAAGCTGACCTGGAGATCAGGCAGCTTGGCCCAGGTAAGGACATGTGCTAGGCCCTGGGGCTGCTCTGTACCCTCTTCACAGGTGCCCTGGGCCTCAGGACTGCACTGCCTGAGGCAGGGGGCAGGGGCAGCAATAGGAGGCTCCCTGGAAGGCTGTGGAGCCTGGAGCCATGGACCCTGGGCCCCTTTTCCTCAGTCATGTCACCCCCTTCCTTGGCCTGTTCAGTGTCTGCCTCCACTCAGCCTGGCTGTGCCCTGGGCCCGGGGCAGCCCCTGGGTTGTGGGAGGAGCACACCTAGGAGGGAGACGGCCCTGGGCCAGAACCAGGAGGTGGGCATTTTGTTGCCTTTTTGTTGGCCTTTTTCTTTTTTTTAAAGTAAAACATTTAGCCCAAAGAATGTCATACCAGGTAGACAGACAGACATCTGGACACGGTCCTAAAAGACATTATACAGACATGGAAGCTTTCGAACAAAGCTCCTTCTCTCGCACCCCACCCCCAACAGTCATCAGATCGTCATCCCTGCCTGTGTTCATCCTGCTGCCTTCGGGAGCAGAGATTGCGGGGTCTCAGCTCTGCTAGTGAAGGCCACTCGCTCCTCCTCCTCCGGCTCCAGAGGGTGCCTGTGTCTCGTTCTCACTGCTGGGGCCCATCCCTGGGGGCCGAGCAGCCACTCCTGGCCCAGGGCACACCCCGCCATCCATGCCTTCTTTCTCTGTTGGGGAAGGCACAGGCCCTGAGGCTTGGAGTCCAAGTCCCACCTCTGCCACCAGGAAGAGTATAGCCTTGGACAGGTGTCTTCCTTCCCTGTGCCCCACAGACAGACGGGCACACCAAATGATGGTGACAGGTCTGTGTGACAGAAACAGAGCAGGTGAAGCGCACCCAGCCCAGAACAGGCACTGACTGGGAATGAGCAGTCAGCTGTTCTCCTGGCTGTTCCCTCAGAGACTCCCAGGATGAGGGTGGGGAGGGCACGGGGAAGAGGCCCCACTGACAAGGCAGGGGGTGCGGAGGGCAGGGTGGCTTGTTTCTTGTTTCCAAGGAAGCTGCAGAAGTTAGGAGACCCATCTGTGGGTGCTGGATGCCCTCCCACCATGCCTGTCACTGGACTCTGCGGCTCTCGTGGGGGACACCCACCCAAGGGTCCTCCTCTGGCTCACTCTGGTCGCCCCTTCTTTTGAGCATCTGCTCTTTTGAGCATAGGAGGAGACCAGGCAGAAACTGGTATAAATGTTCCAAAATATTGATTGTACTGGGGTGGAAAAAATGAGCTCAGTATGTACTGTGATACTACTGAGTCCTCAGGATGTGCCAGCTGTCTCAGCCTACTCAGCCTAGGGGATGGCAAGCTAGGCTGTCTAAAAGTGGAGACCACTAGTGTGCACTCACATGAGGCAGGCTGCACCTGCGTGGTGGGGACTGGCAGCGGGCAGGCCCTTCCTCAGACACGTCCTACACTAAGGTGTAGGTGAGGCGTTGTCCCTAGACATGGGACACAGAAGTCTTCAGCAGGCATGCCAATGATAACAAAAGTTCATCATGCGAAGAACAAGCCTGTGACCCTTCAATTCTCAACCATGGGGAGAGGAAGGGATGGTGGACTAGGTGACTGGCTTTCTCCCCCATCTCCTACGGCCAAGAGAGTACAATCAAAGACATGGCCAGAGATCCCAGAAAGCCCAATGAGCTCGCAGCCTGGCAGCTCCTGCTGAGGCTGGGGAAGCGACAGGGGTGAAGCCGCTGTGCGAGTCTGAGCCACATGCAGGAGGCGGGGCAGAGAGCGGTGGCCACTGGCTCCGGCGGGAGCACAGGGCAGGCTGGGGCCGCTTACCCTGAACATCCCCTCACACGTATCCAACACTGCGGCACACGTCACACAGCTGCAAGGACACAATGACAGGATTCGGAGAAAAGAATAAACATGACAAAACAAGAACGCAACAAAAAAATATGCCAAGTTTCACAGTCAGGGGACCACATCAAATCATTGCAGCTTCTGCTCTGGCCCCAAGGCCTGTGCACCCGAGGACAGAACCAGGTTCTGCTGCCACGGAACATGCAAACAGAACAGGCATGTTGGGGGGGGGGGGTTGTGATTCAGTCTGTAAGTCAGTGGCTCAGACGGGGGGGCCACGGAAGGGGGTTGTGCTATTCCTCCCCTGCTGGCGGGTGCACTACCTGTCCCTCAGTGCCTTCTCCTGCCCACTCATTGTCCCCAAATTTCTCCTCATTCTACCTCACAGATGCTTCAGAGTGATAGCTGTTGCTCATTCTGTTGCTTCCAGTACCAGCAATACTCTGCGTCCCTTCCTTGGGTTGGCTGCAGAAGTTGGCAGGCTGAGGTGTGAGGAGTGCCCCCCCAGACAACTTGGGGTAACCACGACTGCCAGGGTGTGGCCGTGAGCCCCGAGAGCAGTGGGCCTGTGATCCCTCCCAGCAGGGCTCACTGAGGACACACGTCATCACCGAGAACCACCAGGGGGAAGTGGTGCTCTCTGTTGCTGTTCAAGTGAGAATTTCCTTAACTTCTTATAAGCCCTGGTAGACGACAGAGGCTGGACCTCAACATTAATCACATCCAGAAACAAGCCAAATCACCAGACGGCTGCCCCTCACAGTATTTAAATCTCACCCGTCACAAATACTCACGTTGGACTAGACTTTTCACAGGCAGCAAGGAGCCGAACCACCCAGGCTAACCCAGCCGTCTAATTGGGAGTCAGCCTTGGAGATGGCCATGGGGGCCGCAGGTGGCAGAATGCCCACCTCCTGAGAATGCCCAGTCCCCTAGGGCATCACTGCTGTCGTGTGTATCTGCAGTATGTGCATCTGTGTGGTGTGTGTACATGGATGTGCGTCTGTGGCAAGTGTGGTGTGTGTGGGGGTGTGGGAGTGCTCTGTCCCCAGTTGCCTCACCTTCTGCTAATGGGGACAAGGCCAGCAGATGTGCTCACGCCCTGCTGCCTGGTGAATGGGGTAGGGGTAGTGGGGTGGAGGCTGGCTCTATTCCGAGACACAGCCCGACACCTGGCCTGCCTCCCTGCAACAGGACAATGCTGTGCTGGCCCCGGTGGCCACAGCAGATGTGCTGAGTTTCTAACTTCGTGTGGTCCGTGTCCGGGGAGATGTTCCAAAAATGTCATCTTCTTCCCATCTACAAATGGCTCATGCTACTTGTGTGCTATGGTTTCATGTTTTCATATCTTCCTGGGGGGAATAGCTCCATCTTTGATTTTAAATTTAAAGCAAAACTAAACTTCGCCATGTGGGCTTGTCTGTCCGATTAGCTCCTCTGAGAACCAGGAGGACACCCACCTTTTCTGAAACTGACCCTTGACTAAATATGTATTACTAGAAAAACATTTTTCTAATTAGGCTTATTAATTAATACCAAAAAATGTCTTTGGTTCTGAGCATCTGTTCTCCAGCTGTGGGGGTGTACCTGTCGAGAGGCTTGGGAAAGCCTCCAGGCTCTCACTGCACTTTGGGGCCCTCGTCTGTGATCAGCACCCAGCCTCCAGGCTTCTCTGAAGGCCCCACCCTAAAGAACTCAGAGCACTCAGTCCCCAGCTCAGAACAGAAGCAGAGCCCTGGGTCACCAGCATTCACTTGGAGGAATCCCCTAAGAAGCCCCTCTGCAGGACATCTGGGGTCCATCTCGAAAGGCTCTCCACTGGCTGATGGGGTGTCCAAGGAGCCCTCTCAGTAGCTGCATGTGGCACTGGCCTGGCTACCCCACTACAGGTGGAGATTGGTTAGCGGGGGGTGGCACCAGCAGTCCCGGCACTAAGCCCATTTTGCTGAGGTTCACGGAGGCACCTGAGGAAGCTGAGGCTGGGTTACCTGTAGACATGCTTTCCCCGGGGGACATGCCGTCGAGCACCGGGTGCTCCGTGGACTGCGGACTGGAGGCGGAGAGGTTCATCGTGGGCGGCTGCGGAGGCGGCAGGGTGGGCCTCTGCCGGGGCTTAGGGGTGGGCCGTGATTTGGTTAAAGTGCTCGTGAAGCTGGAAGGGGAGGCCAGAGGGGGTGCTGCAGCAGCTGGGGAGAGCTGGCCTGAGGCCAAGGGGTACCCGTGAGGGTAGCTCAGTCCGTAGGGCGACGGGGTGCTTGGTGGCGTAGGAGACAGGCTGAGTGGGGAGGGCTGGCTGGGGGACTGTTCCATCACAGCGCCTGGCTGGCCGAAGGGAACCTTGGGTGGAATCGGGGCCAGCTTTTTGGAAACTGGAAGGGAAAACAACACAACAGCAGCAACACACAATGTTAGGTGAATCCTGTGGCCCATGTGGCTGTTAGCACACCCTTCACCACCTCCTGCCCCTGGCCACCCCAGCTCTTGGTGCCCTGAGAGCAGGCCAGGCAATTTTTTGAAATTAACCTAGAATTGCATGCTTTTGTATCTTCCTGTCTGTTCACTAATTTCTCCTCCTCATCTCTGGATGCCTGCCATGAGCTACACGCATGCTTGCACACGCACACACTTGCACGCACACAGCCAAACCGCAGAACACACTCCCCTCCACGGTGGCGGCTGAGTGCCAGCATCCTGCTACCACTCCTGAGCGGCACTGGTGTCGGAGGTACACTGAGGAAGACTGAGTCCGAGAACAGGGTCCGACACAAAACAGTGAGAGTTCAACCTGTGACAGTGGACCCTGGACGGGACGACAGTCCCAGAAAAGGGAATGCTAACTTCTGGCTGAACCTGTCCAGGGGCCAAACACTTGGACCACAGAGGCCCATTCCTTGGTGTGCCCTCGGTCCCTTCCTCCTTCTGGCCCCAAAGGTGTTTTTCTTTTAAGAATCTCGCCCTCTGGGTGTAACTAGGCACAGAGGCACCGATGCGCTGTTCTAAGCACAGCACTGCCCCAGCCTCCTCCACAGTGCCTTCATTTTCCTTTTTGCTTGCTTAATCGTGCTAACGCATTATATGACAAGTGCATTATACTTTTTATTGAAAATGAACCGAGAAAGATGAGAAATTCAAACATTCAGGGTAAACATTTTGAGAAAGTGATCACTCATCTGTTAGACTTAAGGGAGGGCTGGCTGTGGGTACCCCAAATTCTAGAAGAAATGGCCCCTTAAGCCTCAAGGAGGCATCGGGGACCGTTTTCTCCCCTCTCCGTGGAACTAAACCTATCCCAGTCATGCCTCATACCCTTCCCTGGCTTCTGCAGTGCAGACAAAAAGGGGGCGAATTCTTCGGGGTCCCACCTAACGGGGCTCAGATCCCTCCGCGGCCCACCCACGGGACGCCCCGCGGCAGTGCACTGAACGCCCTTCCCCACAGCACACTGCAATCACCGAGTGGGACCACGTGTGTACAGTACCATGTCCCTGTGACTTAACCAAACCATGTTTCAGCTATGCTGGCTGAAGCGGGGTGACTCCACCGTGAGAAGCCAGTGGATGGACACCCTGGGAATCATGCTTGAATGGGTCTTCTCCTCCGTGATGGGAGAGGGAGGACACAGTGGCATCACCCACTGTTCAAATGAGTAAACTGGGGACCAGTGATGAAATGACCCCTCTTGGGGTTGGCTAACTCCCCAGACCTCAAATGTCTGTGATGATGTTTACCACTTCTGGGCAGTTATAGGGCGAGGGCATGGGGTAAAACTTTGGGCATGCTGTCTAAAGTTGAGGGGTTAAAAAAAAAAGCTAAGTATACCATGCGTGGGCAATGGTGGAGGGTGAAGAAGAAAGTTGGATCTTTCAAATGATGGCTGGGCTACTGAATGTCACTGGGGAAAGGGACCTCCGTGGCTCTGGGCTGCGCTGCCCGCACAGGTCCAGGGTGCTGTGAGAACTCGAAGGGCCAAGCTGCCGCTGGCACTAGGAAGCTGCTGCCTTTGGACAGAACAAGGGCTTAGCCATGACCCTGCTTGGTTGGGCTGCGGGGGAGGGTTAGAGGCCTCACACACAAATATGGCCGAGGACCTCTACCCAGATGGAGAGGAAAGCCTGTCGGTCTGGTTTGGGGAAAAACTCTGGAGCTCCCCGCATGACCCACAGTGTCTAGAACAGTGGCTCTGCCTGTTGCTGTTTGGCCCTTAGAGCTCTGCACACAGTGGGGGCTACTACTTGTGAACGCAGAAGGCAGGACCAGGGAATGCGCAGGAGGGGCTGGGGAGAGCAGACCCAGATAATGGGATCGCACAGCAGCCTGGAGCCAGGGAGGCTGGAAAGGCCCCATCAGGAAGGTATGAGTGCCCAAGGCGAACCAGCCCTGTCCCGAAAGTCCTGGAGCTAAAGCCACATCTAGAAGCTGGAAAGGCCTGAATCGAGAGCAAACTAAACATTATGTATGCTATTTTAAACAATTTAAAGCCTTTGCAAAGCAATGACATAAGGTAAAAACAAACAAAAAAGTCTCGAATAAGCACACATGCCCTGCGGCTCCCCATTTATGCAATGTCACCATGGAGCATGTCTTCAGCTTTCAGGAGGCATTTCAGAGAGGATAACTGGGCCTTCTACAGTGGGTTCCAGTGGCAGATTCTGGGCCAGGTGGCTCAGAGGTCAGGGTAGAAATTCTTAGAACTTCTAAAGCAGAAATATCAAAGGGCGGGGCTCCTGTAGAAACAATTCAATTCCTTCTTCTCTGTACCATTCTTCAAACAACCCCAGGGGCAGGTGGCTGTGTGAGGTGCCGGCTGAGGGGCAGGGGTCTCCTACAGAAGACTCCATACACGTCTTAAACCATGTCATGGGGCCTGGCAGGGAGCGTGGAAGACACGTGTCATCCTGCACAGCCACTCTGCACAGAGGTCTCGGTGTGTGGGAAGGCATACTCTGTACATGCCCCTAATGAGCCCACCGTACAAATGAGCAAACTGGGGATTAGCCATGAGATGACGCCCCCTTGGGGTGGGCTATCTCCCAAAACCTCTAAGCACGGACCAGGAATGTCTCACGGTTTCTAAGTATCCATGTTAAGCGAGGGAAATGAGTTCTCAGGACAGTGTGAAGCTATCCTAGCCTGAGACAACAGGTGTGGAGAGAGGGTGGTGGGGACATACCTTTCCGGAGAGTGTGAGGGCTCTGGTCTGCAGGCGGCTGGCTGGGGCTGGTGCCTGGCTGCATCCCTGGTTGCGTCCCCACGCAGGGTGCCCCTTGGCTGGAGCCCGGAGTTCCCTTCTGTCCAGACCCTGGAGAAAGTTCCTTGCCTTTGGAAGTGCTGAAACACAAGCACGCAGGACAAAGCAGAACCCCTGAACTTGGGCAACTTCAGGACCAGCACATGGATGGTAATGGCTGTTCTTCAGGGCCAGCTCTGCCCTGTCTCAGGCCCTTCCTAACATCTTCAGGTTGCCTCCAGCGGTGACTGTCCCTTCTCGGGGCTCTGAGAGCCCCCTCTGTGGCCCTCACCTTCAGCTTCCTTTCAATGCCTCTACCCTCTCTCCACCAGGAGACCTGAGTAATGGGTGGCGGGGCTCCTGAACCCCCTCTGTACCCTGTGATCAACCCTGGGACTCTTGGACATCCTGAAACTGGAACACGTTTAAGTGTGCTCATCCCTTCCATAGCCCCAGCAGAGCAGAGCAGGAGGACTCGCTGGTGTCAGTGTGCCCATGAGGGCCGCAGGCCTGGGCTCCCACTGAGAAGCTGCATGACCATGGCTCTCTCTGAACCTCTGTAACATCTCAGAGCAGGGACAAACTGGGGGCTCCTCCTCAAACTCAGGAGGTCCCAGCAAACCACAGGGTTAAAACAGACCCTGGCTGTATTCCCAAATGTGGGCCAGTTCAAGTCCCAGCCCTTCAGCCTTGGATGGGGGATCAGGGTCAATGGCACTGAGGGTCTCTGGAGTCCCTCCAACTAATAAAAGGACACCCTGAGCTACCAGGTCCCAAACAGGGCTCATCCCTCACTGCTGGCTCTTTTTCAGGCATTCTCCTAAGGATCGAGTACATGTTAAGAGACACTCTGTTTGACTCCACTCCGCAGACCAGGGATAGCAAATATGGGGCTGACTCCTCACCCCCTACCATCCCCTATCATGCCACCAATGGCAGACATTAGCAAGCGACCTCCATGTTTCCCCTCAGGGTCCTCACCTGTGTTCAGTATAGTGCTGCAGGAGCCCCTGGGGAATCAGGGCGGTGACCTAGGGTTGGGAGCTACCTGTTGTTCTTGCTAGAACCTACATGGACTCTGGTGCCCTCAGGTAGGAAACAGGAAACATGGAAACCTAAATCCTCCACATCGGTTATTTCTTCCCTGCAAACGCAGTGAGAACCCATTTCTTCCCTGAATGAGTCTGGAAACTCCAAATATGAAAAAGCTAAGAATATGCTACTCACTCCCCTGGGGTGTGGCGAGAAAGGCTGGAGGGGTCTGAGACTGAGCAGCAAACACCATCCAAGCTCAGCTAGTTTTCCCCACGTTGGGGAGGGAGGGGAGGCCTTGTTTGTTTGAGGCAGCAGTACACACTCCCCTTCTCAGGGTAAGTGTTATACCACCCAAGGGGAAGGACCATTTCCTCAGAGGTCCGGGAGAGCATTCATTCCTTTCTCTGTCTTGTGAATAAACATCACGAGCCCTCACTGGTGTGACTCAGTGGATCGAGCACCAGCCTGTGAACCAAAGGGTTGCTGGTTTGATTCCCAGTCAGGGCACATGGCTGGGTTGCAGGCCCAGTCCCCATTGGGGGGGGGGCGGCACATGAGAGGCAACTACACATTGATATTTTTCTCCCTTTCTTCCCCTCTCTCTAAAAGTAAATAAATAAAATATTAAAAAATAAATAAACAGCAAGAACGACAACCCCTTGCCTCACTGCCCCTGGCCTCACTCTGGCTGGGCAAGAACTTGTCTTTCACTCCTTTTCAGGCCCAAGTTGGCCAGGCACTCAAGGCACTAATGCCTAATATCCCTCCACTCTTCTGTCATCTCTGCCTCCCGCAAGAGAAAGGTAAAATAAAACAATAAAACAATAAAAGAAAACACAAGACAAGCAAACAAAACAACTGCTTCTTGAGGCATAATAGACTCTTCTTCTTTCCCCTAGATGGACAAGAATCTAGGGACCAAGGAGTTCACCCTTCTTTTCTCTTCCACCTAGACCTGCCCCCACAGCAGAAACAAGAATTCACCTACACGGCCTGGATCCTCTCCCCAGCCCAGGTGCAGCTTACCCAGGGGGAGAGGTGGGGTGGAAGCTGGTCCTAAGGGGTGCCACATGGTTGAGGCACAGTTACAACATGTTTGAGGACAGGTTGATTTTGGGGCACAAGACTCCAGGAGCTGGAGTGCAAAGGGGCAGGAAGCAGAGTTTGGGGTCAGAGTTAATGCCAAGCAGATGAGCAGGGTGCAGAGGCTGAGCCTGGCTAGATAAAGCCACCAGCCTGGAGGGAGAGGGGATGAGGGGCTGGAGATGGCAGGGAGTGGGAGATGGGAGCAAGTCACAGGGAGGTAAGGAAGGGCCGTAACAGGGATCAAGCAACTGGAGGAAATGCCATCGGGGCTGCAAGTGTCCAGAAAACCGAAAAAACAGAGAAAGAAACAAAAAGCAATGGAACACTGGTTTGCACTGGGAGGAATCCTGTGGGGAGAGTAGGAGAGTGGGACAAGGCAAACAGGGACAGGACAGCCAAAGGAAGGCTACAGGACTGGCTATTCCCGGAAAAGGGGACAGCAGGACTACAGAGCAATGAGAGAGAGACTCTCCAAAGCCATCCATCTATAGCATCTGAGAACATATCAGGGCCAGGGGAAATCCATCTTTGAGGGGCCTTTTCTAGGATTATCATTTATATGTCAAATGTTGTTTGGCACCAAGTCTCCGTTATAAGAGGAAATCAGGATGAAGCCAGTGAGTGTCTGTAAAGGGAATCTTGCCAGCAAGTCTCCTGTTGGTCTACTTCCTACCTGTCTGCCTTGCCAGCCCACAGCCATCAGCCTTTGCTTCTCCACTGAGCTTGGTCTCCTGTCCGCATCCCTCTTGTGGGCCCGCAGCCTGGTGAGCACCCCTCCAGACCCAGCTCTGCCCGTCCCCTGAGTTGGAGCCATCAGCAGCAACCCAAGCACATCCAGTATCAGTCCCCTCTCCCAAACTGTCACTGTCCCCTTTCCCTTTCTCATTTCCCCATTACAGTAAAGTACCCACAATACCTTCATTTGGGGTGTTTGTGTGTGCATGTGAGTGAGCATGAAATCAAAGATTGGGTTAAAAGGTTCAGCCTCTCATGGTCCCCAATTTTTCACTGCAGTGGACATGGAGGGATGCCGCATCCTCCAATGACAATTCACAGTGATATCTGATCTGACACAGCCTTTCTAGTTCTCTGGATTGCTATTTGAGAACACATAGAAACACACGAACAGAACAGCAAAGTAGTTTGCTGTGCACGTCCCACTTCTAGAAGCCACCCCTTTAAGGAAGGGCAGGTCCAGCCTCCTTCTGCGGAGACGCTAGGTGTGACCACGTGCCTTAATCATCCTGAGCATCTACTCGCTGGAATGCGCACCCCGAGAAGGCGCAGATCGCATGTTTCAGCTTTGGATAGACACGGTTCTCTGTAAGACCTCATGAACCAGTGATGAAATGAGCTTGTCCTCCGTCTTTCTTCTCCCCTTAGGAGAATGGAAATACAACCATGCGGCCAGCTGCAAAGTTTGCTGGGCCAGCATGACCACATGACCTTCACCCCTTCCCTGGTTTACACCCTTGTTAGCAGTAAACATGGCTCCACAAATCTAAGGGTAGAGGAGAGGAAAGGAGAAGTACTGAAATTCGAAATTGCAAAATAGGGAAGTCATTATGGCAGAGGGAGGGGAAATGGAGAGCCAGGAACTGAGGTTCCCCATACCTCTGTACAAGTTGCCTCTGGGTAAATTTGCTGTCTGCTAGGGATGTTCTTCTAGGAGAGCCTGGCCTGCATCTGATAGTTCAGGGAGCTGTGGTGACTTCCTGAGCACCAGTATGATGTGGAAGGCCAACGTGAATGCATAGAAATGGGGGGATGATGGAATCCAAGAGGCTGGAAGTGGGTGCAGGGAGCCCCGCCACCCCCCGCACAGAAGGCAGCCTGCCCGGGCTTACCTGGTCCGTTCAGCCCCAGGCTGGAGGCCCAGGCTGGATGGAGAAAGCGAGGGCACTGTGGGTTCCTCTGGGAGCTGCTCCGGAAGGGGCGAGGGCAGAGGTGCGGCCAGCTCTGCTGGCGGGGCAGGGGGCTGCGTGGAGGGCGGGGCACATGACCCTTTCCGGCCTGCCGAGGAGCCTCTTCGAGCCACCCAGGATGTGTCCATCACCCTCACGCCCATGCTGGTGAGGGACACAAAGACACATGCTTATCCACGTATGGCAGGTGACAGGCTCCCTCCCCCATGAAGCGGACACATTCAAGCAGGTCAGTGGTAGAACAGCAGCGCAGCCGTAGCACCCTCCTGGGCCCAGGGAAGCAAGGAGGTGTGGGCAGGGCTCTGCAAAGTGATGGGCCACTGTGGGAGCCTCCAGCTGCCCCGCCGGTCTCACCCCAGCGGGCAGCTGCGCTTCCACCCGCTGCCAAAGCCAGCTGATCTTTCAGGGCAGAATGCAGTCTGTCTGGCGGGCACTCACTCCTCCCAAGTGGGGGAGAGGTGGGTGAGCAGGACAGGGACAAGGGTAGCATGAGACTGGAACAAGGCAGCGACCAGCAGGAGACATCTAAATACCTGTGCTAGCCCCAGGACCTGGCCAAGCCTCAACCTCCGCAGGCCACTCCCACTTGTGTACAGGTGGGAAGGGGCCACTTATGCCTACAGTCTCTCTGCTCTGGTTCCATGTCAATGATGGGAACACAGTCAGCCTCAGGTCAGTCGGCCAAGCAACCAGACACGGCACATTCACCCTCTGGCAGAGCTCACTAAGGCATGGCTCACTGAGTTCCCAGAGACTGAGCATGGCCTATAGCTACCCGAGGATACCGTACCTTTGGATTTTCCTAAGGCTGCAGAGACAGAAACATACAGATATTAGTGTCAAAAAGACTATGCCTCCCTTTGGACATACAAGTTGTCTCCTGTCAAGGTCAGGGTCTCGGTGTGGGGCTTTCATCGTGCCAAGAACTAGGTTCCATTTTGTTGGTCTCCTAAAGTGGCTCTTCTATTTGTGTGGGTGAAAAATCTTATCCTACTAAGCTCACAGGTGAACAGAGAGACTGAATGGTTGATATCAAGGTGTGTAGGGGCGGGGGTGGGCAGGAAAGGGCATCAAAAGGGAGAAAAACTGATGGAAGGACAGTAGTCATCTGCCTGGCTTACGAGGCAATTGATGCCCTTTGCTCTATGAGGTACACAGGCAAGGCCTTCACTGACTAAGGCAAGAGCTAATGTTTCCAGTATTAAGGACAGATGCAGACATTCACTTGGAAAACACGTGCTCCCAGCCAGCATCTGCCTCTACCAGGCACATGTGTGGTGGGGTGTGGGTATGAGCGTTACCTTGTGTTTACTCTCACCTCTTCACCCACACTGGTCAGAAGCACAGAGCTATCACGCCATGAAATCCTGCCTTCCAACAAGGTCAAATGGACCTTGTAGAAGTGCAGCAAAATTTTTTTAAAGGGGTCAAGTTTGGAGATTGTAGCAGCCTTTGGGTCCTTTAAGGAAATATGCCTTAAGGGATGCAGCCGGCAGTGATGCACACAGTGAAGGGCTGGGGCTGTAGGCTGAGTGCACCCCACCAGGGGGCAGGGACAGCCTCCTGACACCCCCTCCTCTGCAGGGTCACGAGGCCTCTTTGAGTCTCGTGTCAGTGCTAACCTTCCAATCTCCCCTCTATGGCTCTGAGGAGGCACCTTGGTGGGGGGGGTGGCGGGAGGGGCAAGTGGGGTCAGTCTCTTTCCAGGACCCACTTGCTTTCAACGTTATCTTGGGTCTAAAGACCCTCCACCAAGAAATAAGCAGCTTCTGTAGGGGATTCGGAACCACTCTCAGAGGCCACCCAAAAGTCTGGGACCGGGTATAGGCACATCCCAGATGTTTAAAGAGAGCTGCAAGGAAGTATCCAACTCTGCTCTTGGCCTTCAGAATTTATTAGGATGCAGAGAGGAAGAAGCTTAATATTCATTCCACTCAGGGGATACCACTAAGCGGCCATGGTCAGCGAGATGGCAAAGATGCATGATATCTCCCAAGGTGGTCAACAGAAGGGTGCCTAAAGGATGTGAGTCTCACCCTGTTTCCTCTTCCTTATGGATTCTCTTTCACTTAGGAAGACCTTTCCCACTGGTGGGGGTGCAGAGGGGGAGAAGAGGCTTGGGATTTAGGACCAGGGCCGGTGGGACATGCAACTACTTCCAATGGCACCTTCCAACACCAGCAATCTCAGAGAGAAGGCTGCCTGGGGCACACAGCATGGACAGGGCGAGACCTGTTGGGTGTCAGTGGCAAAATGTCAGCAACCAAGAAATAGAGGCTGAACATGCGCTTCTGCCTTTACAGAGAGACTGCCTTGCTCTACGTAATCGCCACCTGAAATTATTGTCTTATGGGAGGCAGCGTCACTTGTTCATGATGAGTGTGCCTCAGATGTCCACTGGCATTTTCAAAATGGACAAGGAGTCAGGGTAAGGAAACCAGGGGCTAGTAATGCAGAATTCTTGCTGGCTCATTCATGGGATCCATGTGGGGTAGGCCAGGTGACAAGTTCTCACCTTGGCAAGGCAGTCCCATTTAACTCCTCCCAGTCTACCAGGACCTTTCATTTGTATGGAACTTATCATAAGGCACATTGGTATTTTTCATGAGATTATATCCTGGAATAGGTTCTGAAAGGATCCAAGCCACATGACCCACCTAAACCATTCACTGACTCAGTGAAGCTCCCTCCTTATCTACAGAAGGAGGCTAATACCTCCCATCCCACTTCCAGCATTTCCATGAAGGGATTTTTATCAATTACTGAGTGCTAAGATATATTTAACATGCTAGGCCATTACCCAGGAGAGAGCTAAGTCCCCTTTCCCTACGCTCCTTAGGGGAGGGAGCCGAGTAGTCATGCACTGGGTTGTGGTGGCGTGAATGATGGGAAACACAGGCTGTACCCATAAGCAGTCTGTCTAGCTACACAAACAGAACTTTATGGGGTTGACCAGTTGGAGGTGCAGAGAATCATATGATATCTTGATGGAGGAAAGAAAAAGGCTTGGGGCCTGGATAGCATGGAGCTGGAGTGGCAATTCCATCATGGGGTGACCCCACTCCCTGCCCTGCTCACCACGAATCTTCTAGGGAGCAGCATAGTCCTGTGGCCAAGAGCAGGGCTTTGAAAGGAGGACTTTGGTGTCTGATTGACATTTTCTCATTACTGTGTGATATGGATGAGCTACTTACCATCTACTATTCTCTGAGCAACACCATCTCCCTTTCCTCAGGGTTGTTGTAAAGAACAACTAGAACAAGGTGTATGAATTACTAAGCATCTACTAAGAGATCAGGAAGTGGTAGCCTTGACTAAGATGATGCTCTTTCCTGGGAGGTACCAAGTACAGATGATTTTAAATGATCTTCGTGGATAAATACGTAGAGTGAACCCCAGTCTTAAACAGGTTGATCAAACAGGGAATGAGGATATTGTGTCAGTGAATCAGGCTCAGTATGAGGTGAAAATATTGAAAAGACACCATCTGGGTCACATCAGCTGGGTTTATAGGTCTACCATCAGATTTCTTCCCTTCCTAACACTGTCTTAAACGTGAAAAGATTTTGGGGTGGCTTCCCTGCTAGAAGTAAGGGAAACAAAAATAAGGAGAGAGCTGAGTCCCCTTTCCCTACGCTCCTTAGGCTTCTAGGAATCTCTGAGTTAGATGGGCCACAGTGGGTTTCAGAGGATGGGATTGCAGGAAGCCTACATTGATGATTCTAGGCTTAAGGAACAGAAAAACAAAGGGGGATCCCCACAAAATCACCAAGTCTCACTGCCCAGCCCAGGTCATCAGGGTAGGAAAGAAGGAAAGCACCAGGCTCATCTTGGCTGACAGCTCCTCTGGGGAACAAACTATGACAGGGGGCTGGAGACTCAGCCAGGAATGGCCAAACCCTCCCCACCTGCAGAAAGTCTCCCATGTCCCAGGGAGCCCCCTGCAACCTTCCCCTGACCCCGGCCAGTCCACTGGGCTGTAGTATATGTTGTGCTTGCAGAAGCAGCCCAGTCCCTCCTAGGAAGGTGGAGACAGAGAAAAACACTCGAGGTGTTTTTAGTGAGATGTCAAAGAATGGGTTGGTCGGGGCACATCATGCGGAGAAAGTGCACCCAGCCACATTACTGTCTTAAAACCGTAATTAAAAAGTCTACTGTGTCTACTAAATACAGCTAACATTAACATATATCAAGCACTGTTTTAAACACTTCATAAGTAAAATTTTATTTAACGCTTAAAACAAATCTAAGGTTGTTGTTTACTATTATTTCCTCATTTTGCATATGAAGAAACTGGAGCAATCAGAGGTTAAGTAACTTCCTCAGGTCATGTGGCCAGAATGTGAACTCAGAAAGCCCCATGCCAAAGCTCACACTCTGCATTTGCAAAGGGCTGTTTCCCATGGGGTTATTCTTCTTGAAAAGGTGGGTAAGGAAAGGATGGAGAAGGCTAGATCTATGAATGTCTGCTGATGAAGGAAAGAAGATGGCCTTCTTGCTTTAAAGTCTGTAATCTGGCAGGCCACACAGGGAAAACATGAGATCCAGAACCTTAAACATTAAAAGAGACAAAGGCCTGGCCCAGCAAAAAATAGAAATAAAAACCAAAATCTGAAAGTTGGAAGATCCAGGTCTAAGAAGAATAGGTGTCTACCAAAATAATACATTCACCACTGAACAGAGTTTGCTGTAGACCATTCTAGGAAGTCAGCTGTCAAGGGTTAGTGGATTTTTCCCCCCCTCTGTAGGATAGATATCTGCAGTCCTATTTCTGAAGCCTGGTTAGGTACATTGTTAGCTAGAGGTGTCAGCCAATGTTTGGTTTTGAAATGTTTAAGTCTATAGAGATCTAGAAGGTTTTAATTTTTGTTCTAGAGATCAGTTACCTTTGGCAAAGGCCAGGAGAAGGGAGAGAAGAAATGGGTTAACCGTCAGATGCAGACCCCAGGAATTTGGGTAGCTCCCCAAATGTCCATCAAAGACTTGGAAGTTCAGAGAGTGTTTAAGGTGCACTTGGAGTACGTGTAGCAGTGGCAGGGACCTCTGGAGTCTCTGTATGGTATCCTCGGTAGCCAAGGTGAGTGACAAGGGACCTAAACACCTGAAGACTTCGTTTACCCCATACTCACACAGAAAGACCAGCATCAGGTAATTTCTAGCTCCTCCAGGGATAATGCCTCTCTTAAATATATGATGACAATGTGTCTTTGCCTCCTCTGTGCAAGTAAAGGCTGGGCTCAGTCTCGCCACACCTCACAGACCTGGTTGCAGCATCTGTGATGGGCGAACCTGGACATTTGGAAGCTGAGGTGGGGCCTGGGCTAAGAACATACCTCTCAAGGGTCCATTTAACTGATCCAAACCCAAAACAAAAGTCAAATCCTCCACTAACATGTGGGATGACTTTCTAGGTCAGCATATCATAGGTTCAGGCCCTACCTGAAATAGGGCAATGGCACCATCTATCCACGGCATACGGTCCCTCCTCCCACTTACAGAAGTGAGTCCCTCAGATCACTAGTTCTGATTGTTTTGTAACAACAGTCTCTACAATCAATAAGTCTGGAACAGGATGCATGCCACAGCCACATTATGAAGACTTGTGGCAATGTAACCAAGGGGTTCTCCTCAAACCCCCAAGTCTTACTGCCCTAGCCAGGTCATCAGGGCAGGAGAAAAGGAGAGAGTAGAGGTGTCTTTGGGAAAGGAACTGTGACAGGGTGCAGAGGACTCATCCTGAATGGCAACAACCCCTCCCACCTACAGAAGGTCTCCCCTACCCTGGGAAGCCTTCTGCAACCTTCTCTT